GCGACTTAATTTTTCACGCATTTCTTGTAGATAATGTACCTTGTGTTCCATTTCCTCCGGTTTATTAACTTCAAAATCATATATACCACCTAAAAGCATACAACACACACATGATATATCACATAATCGAGCAATGTTTACTTCTGTAAATACCTTTTTTTCCAAAGTAAGGTTTCTCTTGCTCGATCCACTCATATTTTCTTGTGAGTTCCAAAACTTTTTGCTTACATTCCGCCGCACTTTTTTTGATATCATTAATTTCATGATTCAATTTTTTAATGTCCAATTCCTGATCTTTATTTTGTTTAATAATATCTTCCTTTTTCGCTGTCAACCTTTGTATATCTTTATTCTGCTGATTAATAATGTCTTTTTGCTTTTTAACATTATTCTGCAATTCTGTAACTCGAGCTTTGGTTTCTTCCAATTCTCGCCGAAGAGCTTCTCCTTTTTCTTCAAACATATTGCTTTCCTCATTTGCTTGAAGCAATTGTTTATTACCATTTTCAATGCTTTTCTTGAATTCTTTTATTTCCAATTCGAGCGTTTCCGACTCTTGTTCTCTCTTTTGCCATTCCTTGCGACTTTGTTCCGCTTTTTTCTTTAAGATATTCAATTGATTCTCAGCGTCCTTTAACTGTCTTTCACGAATATTTACTGCATCCTTTAATTGAATTTCTATGTCTTTTGCACGTTTTGCACTTTCCTTTTCTAAATTCTTTGCTGCAGCCATTCGTTGTGTAAGCTCTTCAATAGCTGCATTCAGAGAATCCACCTGAAAATAAATATATATATACATATATATATATTGTACAAAGAAGAGTTTAAAGTTAGACATCTAGTTTACCTATATGAGCAAAAATTTTTTGCTTATTCTCATGTTGCTTGTATTTAAATATAATTATCAATTTATACTTATATAAATGCACATAAAAAATATTTACAGATTACATATGTATGCGTACCTCTTCCTTGATTTTATGGTAACTCGTTTGTTGCAATTTTTGTCGTATCATACTAATTTCATAAGTGAACAGATCATGTTTCTGTTTCAACGATGCATACTTTTCCGCGGTTTGTACAATATTTGATAAAGCAGTTTCTATGTCTCTCAATAGCTGTTCTTTGTGATTCAGTTCATTCCGAATTTCTTTCAATTCTTCCATTTTCAATAGAACTGATCCAGATTGTGCTGGAGCACCGCCGGACAACGTACCAACCGGATCAAAAAGATCGCCTTCTAAAGTAACGCACTTCTTCATAATCCTTTCGTGGAAAGCTATTTTCTTGGCAGTTTCCATATCTTTGCATACAAATATTTGACCGAATATCCAGGTCATTGCCGGCTTAATCTCATCTGGAAAATCTATAAGAGACAAAGCGGGTTGAACGTTCTCTTTCCCAACCAATCTTTCTGCCAAACTGATTGTTTGTTGATCCATAAATTTACCAGCCACTCGATTGAGTGGGATAATCGTAACTCGTTGCTGTAATTGCCCATGTTGGAGAATTTTCTTGCTGGTGGTATCAGTGTCAACTATCACATTATAAAGCTGGAACATAATTACATTCAAAGATTATTTAATATTAATGAATTAAAATTTTTCATGAAAATAAAGTATAAATTAGAGAAAGTGTTACCTTTCCACCTGCGGCAACTTCCAAGGCGTACGCAGCTTCTTTATCCTTCACCGTAATCAATTTGCATACGACACCTTTTACAGATTTTGCATTAAAATTAGGTTCAGGATTCTGAAACTGGAACCTCGTGCGAGGATATCTTGACTCAAACTGATCTAGTTTCTCACGCAATGGCTTCATTTCTGCGAGCAAGTTACTTCTTTGCTTTTTCAAGTCTTCCGAATAACCATCCTTGTAATTCAACTTTTGCATTTCATTCTCCAAGCACTTCAATTCTTTTTCTTTCTTTTCCAAATCCGTGTCACATTTCTTATATTCATTCTCGGTACTATACATGTCTTTCTGTTTTTTATTCAACTGTTGCCTATTGTGATTTAGCGTCATCTCACATTGTTTAAGCTCGGTTTGCGCTTGCGTCACACTTTGCTTGGCATTTATCAGTTGTTGTTCCAATGTTGCATTTTCACCGTCTTCACTCTCCAGCAGACCCGCACTAACCTTCTGATATTTCTCTTGTGCATCTAATAGAGCCTCGACATCTTTCCGACACATTTCTTTCAAATTATGAAAAAGCCCTCCAACTTTCTCCAATTCCTTCTCCTTTAAGATGAGTGCATTGTTTTCTTCTGTTATATTAATCTGTATTTGCTCCAATGTTTTTTTCAGAGTTTTAATATTTTCCTTATTACTGTTTACTTCAGCTGATAATTTATATTGCTTCTTCTCATATTCTTGCAGCTCTTTCTCTAAAGATTCCAACACGCTACCTTTTTCCTGTTAAGAGATTATTTAATAGATATTAAATAGTAATATTTTAAATATTATCTATACTAATTGGAAATTCAATACTATTATTGAAGATTATATTATTATGTATAATAGTGTCATATTTTTTTGTTTGTTATCAAAATAATATGCTAGATAAATATAATGAAAATTTAATACATCTAATGATGCACGATGCATATCAATAGATACAAGTTGAAGACATATTCTTTTAGTCTTGTCAGGCATATTGAACGCATATTGTTGGAAATACATAATATATAAAGTTATAAGTTGTCTATGTTACAGAGTTACTAAAGAAATAAAACAAAAAACAAGAAACCATACCGCTTCCTTTTTAATCAGCAATTCGGCATACTTGGCTTCTATATTCTTGATCTCTTCTTCGCCAGCAGCTATGCTCTCTAATTTTGAATCTATCTTGCTTTGTACAATCTTGACATTTTCTTCTATCTTCTGACTATTATTGAAAGCAGCAACATACTTCCACGCAAGATAAATTCGTTTGCTGTGTTCAAGTTCTCTTTCTATTCCTTGAAATTCTACATATCTCGTTCTCTCTTCTTTCAATTTGTTCAACTTTGGACCAATGTCTTCTTTCAAGATCTAAAATACAGCGAATAGAATATCAGGAAATCAAGATATCAAGATACAAGTGCCAAACATGGTATCAACAAAAAATATATACAGTATTTATTTCTTTTAATTTATTATCCTTTTTTTCTATGGTGTTTAGCGCCAATTGCTTCTTCTTCTCGTACATTTTTGTCCCTGCTGCTTCTTCGAGCATAGACAAAATCTCCACCGGTTTCATATTCAATACTTTCGTTATTCTACCTTGCATGATTAAAAAGTGTGGATTGTTCACATTTAATTGAACGGAACAGAACAGATCTGTAACCCGTTTATTTGGTACATTCGTCCCGTTGATCATGTACTTGTTTTTACCGCCAATCACCACCTGTCTCGTGATCACAATCTCTTCGTGTTGCTCATAACCCATGGGAGACGATTCTCTGTCACGATTGTCAAAAGTTATCGTAACGCTGGCCTTCTTTATCCCTGCTTGGCCTGACTTGTAGACCAAGTCTTGCAAGGAAGTGGCACGTACCTGTATTAAATAGACACAATGTTGTTAGTTACATAATTTAGTAGATTAATTTGAAGTAAGTCTCTCATGAACCGTAAAATGCACGCGTGCGATAGACAAACAAAATTCACCTGGCTGAGATTCGCAATTCCCAAAACGAAGCATATCGCGTCCAGAATGTTCGACTTTCCGCTGCCGTTGAATCCCGTAATCGCATTGAATTCCTTATCGAAACCATTTATTTCGATTCGTTTGCCATAAGATTTGAATCCTTCCAGTACCATCGATCTGATATACATGTTAAATCAGTAGTAAGATAACACGTCACGGTAACAATGGATTGGGTTTTGATGTCAACAAAGATACAATTCAACAGTTCCCTCCGATTTAAACGCTTTCAAACCGATGACCTAACCTAACCGATGCCTCGCAGGAAGCCAACTGATATATTCGATCTGCACTAGGGAGTTCTCCAGTTTCATTTCGTTTTCGTTCAAGTCCCATGAAGCCTGCGGGGGGAGCGTCCCGTTTGACCGCAGCCACTCACAGCCCCGGTGCCTGGAGTTTTTCCACTGGACCAGCCAATCGGATATTTTCATTATCAATCAGCCAATTGACGACGTGGTCAATTGAGTCCCACTCGTTGGCGTAAAGCCCGGTGTCCACGATGCAAGAACTTGGTCCAAGTTTTGGTTTAAAGCCCGGTGTCCACGATGCAAGAACTTGGTCCAAGTTTTGGTTTAAGGGCTCAGTCACAATGAGAAGAATAAGGAATAAGATAAAGGAATAAGGAATAAGGGAATGTTGCATCTCACTTCAGTACACGTACATTAAAGTGAGATGCAATATGCCTTATTCCT